CGGAACGATACCACTGAGTATACCGATGATGTATCGCTTGGTGGTACATACACTTCGAGAAAATCTTTGTAGGCGAATAACAAACCTTGCCACTTACCACCGGCGATTCAAGTCGTTGTCCGTTGGCGTCACACCCAGACGATTTCTTGCAAGCAATATGCTTAGGAATGACTAGAAAGCGTGAAAATCAATATTGATCTTGTCATTACTGTAATTTGTTTTCCTCTTTTTTTTCTAGTAATGACTTTAAATAAATATCTACAAATGTCTATATAATTATGAAAGCCACAATTGTGTGTGAATATATTGAGTTGAGGAACACGATAACATCGTAAAAAATGTACATAATTATATAATGACGTCATGGATCAATAAATCTGTTTGTTAAACCCGAGTATCAGTATATTTTTTTTTTTCAAAATTCTTATCCTAAATGTAGGTGAGAAAATCACGCGGTAAGTCTGCGAACAGGCCTTATTGGAAGTCCACGATAGAGTTTCCTCAACGTCTAAGAGGGTCATTTTTGTACGTCTACAAATTGCCCTTTTTGTAAGTCTACAAAAAGCCCTTTTGGTAAGTCTACAAAAAGCCCTTTTGGTAAGTTTACAAATAACACTTTTTTGTAAGTCTACAGATAGCCCTTTTTGTAAGTCTACAAATAGCCCTTTTTTGTAAGTCTACAAATAACCCTTTTTGTAAGTCTACAAATAGCCCTTTTTGTAAGTCTACAAATCTTCTGCAAGGCTACGATACGCCATGAACTTATATTGCATCGTCGCAGGCCTTACTACGATAAATAAAGTTACGATATCTCACATGTTAACATTAACTCATAAAGTTACGATATCTTATCTAACATTAACTGATAGAGCTATGATATCTCATATAGGTACAAACATTAACTCATAAAGTTTTAAACAAGGCCAACAACACAGTAAAACAACTATACAAATTGTTCATAAAAAGTAGCTAGAAAGAAAGAAAAGGGAATTGATTCACTCCTTTCTCCATCTATATATAATCCTAAAGACGATCTGCGCTAAAAACAAAACCAACCTTAAACGCCCCCCATAAAAGACGTATTATCAATAAAAGGGGAATCATAACGCTCTTGAGATATGCGTGCGTTCAAATATAATATGATTTGATTTATTTAGAATGAGTATGAATGGGTTTATATAGATACCGTATTTAATTTAGATCGTTGATATATTACAACATCCATGTCATGATATATTTCCACGAGCTTGTTCAGAATTTTTCAAAATTCATTATATGTAGCTAGAAAGTTGGCACTTTTATTTCTTTTTTTGAATCAAAAAAAATCAAATCCCCCAATAAAATTATCACAGACCATTGGTATTTTGACACCCTGACATTTACGCCCATTAAAGGTTCGAATATCGTGCATACATAGCAAAATGTCACTCCTGATATGAGTCACTCATGCAGATTGCAGAACGACCCCCCCCCCCCCCCACGTAAATCAATCACATGCACCGGTTTTTCATCAAAAGAATACAGTTAGGATGCATTTAATGAGAGAGAATGTTGGATAGGATGAGTGATAAGACACCGGTATATACTGTAATATATGCTGTTGTGGCGGAGCTTGAGTAGACATTAGAAAGTACTGGTTTTGAATATAGCGGCTGAACTGGTCGGAAATTGTTGGTTATATTATATTGTTGGTTATTGGAATCGGTTTCAGAGGACATCAATGTACGAAATGTCGCCATCTGTAAAACAAAATATTGATTATATGAGAATTGAAAATCATCTAAACAGAAGACGCCATATTGCTTCTCATTTATTTATACGCCTAGGATTTTTCCTTGCGTTTTTGTATTCGTAATGATCAATTTATTACAGTTACTTTGTGAAAGCATCCTGCATATATTTACGTTAGTATATCACTGCAATAACAGTTTCGACAGTTTACGACCATGCGTATATTATGTTCAAAATGGGGCTTTCAACATTCGGCCATATTGTAGCCTCGATAAGGACTACAAGCGGCCCAAGTGAGTACATCAATAAGGGGGGAATCTTTAAAAGTGAACAGTCGTAAACCGGTTCATTCCGACCGTTTCACTAATCTTGACCCTTACCTTTTTTGTATCTGTCGCGTATCACGTATGCCAGACACAGAAAGTACTTAATGTTGACATCAAGTTCAAGTTCTTTATTCCTTTTAGTCAACGACTCATCGGGTAAAACATACAGTACAAACAAATAAAGAAATACAATATGTACAAAAACAATATCAAACACACATATATATATAACACATTAAACTGAGTTAGATATTTAAATATATAAGTTAGAAATATAAGAGAACAAACGTTTTCCTATGCACGTCGCTTGTTTGCCAAATATAGAAAGTTCCCTAGATTAATTAATTCATTAGTATTATTAGTAATTAATAATTGAATTAACTTATAAATACTGAAATAAATATTTCGTTATATATTTAGTCCTAAAATTCGCATATAATGGGCAGATTAAAACAAAATGATATTCATTTTCAATATCTTCTAACTAAATCGCATCTTTAAATTTTATTATTTTTCGATGTTAAGACTATGGCTTGAGTGTCTTTTTTTAGTTATTTCTTTACGACATTTAATATTAATTTGTTCTGTTAGGTAATATTGCAAGGAAAATGTATCAATGATTTGTTTATATATAGCTCCCTTAGATGATTGTCTTATTTTTCCGTAGCACTCATGCTTAAATATGTCGAGTGGGGGGGGGGCACGGTGGCTAAGTGGGTAAGACGCTGGCTCGCTAGCCCGAAGGTCAGGTGTTCGATCCCTGCATTGACCGAGAAAGTTCATCCAGATTTTCCGGCGTGGTTCCCCCTTGTCAGTGATGCAGGACGGAGGGTCTGACAAGGACAGATGTCTAGTCGTTCGCATGAGACCAAAAACCGAGGTCCCGTGTACACGTTGGCGTGCAAAATTTCCCCCATAGCTCACTGTATGGCGTATGCCCGTCTTCACTAGCCCAGTTTGAAGCAGTAGGACGTTAAATCCCATTTCATTTCATTTCCCCTGACTGTTCAAAAAGGTCATCAGCTGTTTTGGCGATGCATTCCTATTGTTGAGCGCGATGACTGGATTATTAAGATATAAGATACAATGTTGACAAAGACGTTAGTATCTATCAACAAGGTTAAAGGTTAATATACGATACAATGAAAGCAACGATTTGTTAACCTTGACCGCGGTTTCGGTTGGCAGATCATCCAAGGTCACCAGACAAACTTACACAGCCCCTTTCAACGGACCACACGTACAATCTTCATATCGTTCTTTTTAATAATTATCCCAAATAAAAGATCATTTAACAATCAGTCTATCATCTTTTCTCTTATGCTTGAGTGATTTTTTATTAAGAAGCAACTTCCCATATCACAATTTCTTTTTCCTTTCACAGATTTTAAATCTTCTATTAACTTTTTTATTTATGACCGCTGGCAATGGTCTTGGGATCTTGCAGGCACAAATAAACTTCATCACATTAAGCCTCTCTTAGGAGATTGGCCAAGTTCCTATAGAACCAACAGGAGGGATGAAGTTGTTTTGTGTCGCTCTCGTATTGGTCATACTTTTTTAACACACATTTTCATATTAAAGCGAGAGCCTCAACCAGAATGTGAACACTGTCATGTTCCTTTGACAGTTAAGCACATTTTGATTGAGTGCAAGCATTTCAAGGATATTAGATCAAATTTTTACCGTTGTCAGTCATTACATCATATGTTTGCCCAACCGGGTTTATATGGTAAAGTGTTAGACTTTTTAAAGGAGACAGGATTTTATCATAAATTTTAATTGTATATATATATATATCATTTCATTTTTGTATTTAATATTTATATGTATAAAAGTTGTATTTTATTTTTAATTTTACTAACTGTGATATTGTTTTTATTTATGCATATAATGTTTTTCTGTGATATAATTTAGCCTGTCTTGTAATATTCACCATATGTTTGGCGCAATATAGCCCGGTTGGAGTTGACGTGCCATAATACTACATTTCATTTCATTTCATTGTTGTGAACTCAACACCCAGTTATTGAAATCAACAACAGTGTGCACCTATACCTCTATGGCCTACCAGCATTCGTAGAATTACGTGTCCACAGAATTTATTTGAGATAATTAGTATGAATTTTTTCGACCTCCCCAGCTTTGTGAAATCCTCATATCTCTGAACCGTATACGATAACATAGTACCTTTGTATCAAATTCAGAATGTTTGGTTAAAATATTGAAATAATTATCATTACAAACTTTTTGAGCTGAAAATAGAGCTTTGTTTTTTTTAATCAGGTCTGCTAATTTCTGTTGGGTAAAGTTGAATTTCCCATTGAAATATAATAAAAAAAAATCGGAGGTAGGTAAAATTATCAACAAATCTACATCAAAGTTATGAAAGGTCAAGGACTCAATGCTTTTGATCTTTCCCCCATTTAAAAAATCATAATTTTTTGTCTTATCAGTGTTAATGGTTATATTCTATTTCTGAGTATAATTGTAAAGAGAATTCAAAAGGTTTTGAAGGTCTTCAATGGTTTCTGAAAATTATGACCTTATTATCAGCTACCTACATCAAAAGGAATAAATTAAGTGTTTGGATATTAACTGAAGGCAATTATCAGATATGAATTGAGACTCACAATCGTTAACAAAGAATGGAAATAAAAGCGGAGAGAGGGAATTTCCCTGAAATAATCCATTTTTACTTTCAAAATATTCAGGTAGATCTCCATTATATTTCACACATTTAACCTTATCATATAATGATCTGATAATTGTAAGTATCCCCACGTTACCATCCTCATTGATTAATTAACCATCCATAATAGACACAGTTAAGAAAACTTCAGGTCATTAGTGGCTTACAAAGATACGAGATCGTATCTTACCTTGGACGTAACCGGCCATATCCCAGGAGATCCTATCTATATTTTTGGGTAATAAACGTACCTGGATTTTTGAGATTTTTATAGTTTCAGTAAAAACTGCCCACACAACAACTTCATTACATGAGGGTGTTGTCAAACTTCCATTGTATCGGAAAAAGTTGGTTGGGTTACTTGGGATAAAGTTCATCAGAGCTGTGTTGTTTAAAGATACCAGGTCTGTAATTTAAAATAAAATGAATTAGACAAACATCACAGCGGTATCATTTATTCAACGAATGGTTAGCCCGTTATTATTATCACCCGATATATACATTTCTAAAGGCAAATATCGCTATCGCTTGTTTTAGGGTACAACATTCATCTTAATTTTATTTTTAAAAAGATTCTAAAACGAAGTAAAATGCCATTTATTACACATATATATATATATATGCATATTTTCTGGGGAAGATATAATAAAAAGTAAAGAAAGGTAAAAGCGACACTTAACTCCATTTTAGTAAATTTTTATACAATTTTTTCTCTGACTTTCAGTCTACTTTCTGTGATCTTAATTCGACCGTTCCTGAAATACTCAATATCATCCAATTTTTCCTGCTGTTTTTAAACCATATAGGGGCGGGGCCTAGCGCAGCTAAAGCGTAGTCACGTGACATATACGGTTTTGTGTCACTTCCGGCGATATTAGTAGATTATTGCGTAAGCCCATTTCAAGAGTCAAGTCTAGAGATGGTCATTGAGAGAGAGAGAGAGAGTGAGCGAAATGAAATGAAATGAAATGGGGTTTAACGTCCTACTGTTCTGCTCCTACGCTGGAGAGAGAGAGAGAGAGAGAGAGAGAGAGAGAGATAGAAATAAAATGGGGTTTAACGCCCACTGGACACAAACTAGGTCATTTCGGGATTAACACATGGTTCAATTTTATTTCAACAATTCGCTTGCGCGTAGGGGTCTTTAGCAGTGGGAGGAAACCGGAGAACCCGGAGAAATCCCACGAGGTTGGACTCCTTGTCACGTACAACCGGGGAATCGAAACTCCGCCAGACTGTTGACTCAATGACAGACCTTATGATACAGCGCGTACGTGCTAACCATTCGGCCACCCAACCCCGCGTGATAATTGACGACTTTAATGATTATTCAATTTTGGTTAAATAATACAGGGAAATGAACAATGTCATAATATATCAAGTTTTTATCGACCGACTGTTTTCAATCATACTCTCTATTTAAACAAGTGCTTTCCAAATACAATTTAACATTTATTATCCAAATGAAATGGAGTTTAACGTCACCCATACTGAGCTGCCCTGTGATTCCAACTGTCAATGGGTTTTATTTACGTGCACGCCAATATGTGTACGGGGCATCGGTTTTTCGTCTCATCCGAACGACTACACTGCACTCTCCTTGTCATGCTCTCCCTCCATCCTGCACATTTCTTATACAATTATTTTAATCCGTAACATGTATATCTCTTTCTATCTGGTGACCGACGCGCCCTATCTGATAACCGACTCGCCTTATCGAGTGACCGACTCGCCCTATCGATACCAAAATTTTTTTGACCGTTTTGGACATAAATAGCATTTAAACGTCCTACTGTTCTGCACCAATAAAAATGGGCACGCGCCCTGTTGTGTGCCATGAAGGACATTTTACCCTGACATCGGCGCAACAGCTACTCTTATTTCGAATTCCAACTTCAAGACTAGACACTGTTTTTTGCCAAGCCCCCCGTCCTGAAGAGAAAAGAAAAAATCACCCCAGAAAATCAGAGAAACTTTCTCGGCCAACATTGGGAGCTAACCTAACCACCTTACTCACTGAGCCACCGTAGCTCCCATGTTTTGGACCCTCGATTATCAAAAGTACATTTTTAATTATTTATGCAAGTTATAGTGTCGGAATTACTTTAACAAAGGCAGAAAACATCACTAGAATGCTTTCACCAACGCCATGGGCGACCTGTATACGTGGGTGAGGAGAGGTTGGCGTTTGGTGGAGAAAACTGGTAGAGTATTCAGTTACTAATAGTTTGCGGTCAACTCTCTCAGAGACAAAAATCACAACCAAATGGATGCTGAACAATATTCTTTCCTTAGGCAGCAGCTATGTCCACTATCAGGTGTATGGACAAGAAACCTGTAACTTTGAACGACGACTGGATGGCAGAAATATTATATGGACTGGAACAATAATTAACTTATCGGGACTAACATATGGAGCTCGTAGGGGTCTTTAGCAGTGGTAGGAAACCAGGGGACCCGGAGAAAACCCACGAGGTTGGACAGGCGACCATACTCCTTGTCACGTACAAGCAGGGAATCGAAACGAAGCCACTTGACTTAATGACAGACATCATGATTTAATGCGCACGCATTCTGTTAGCTGTTAATATAGCAGTATTAACAATATCAATATAGTTATACTTATTACCCGCTACTTAGAAAAGCTAATAATTCATATTTCGACAATTTCCGATAAATTGGGATACATAAAATGAATTTTATCTTTATTTTCTAGTTTATGGGACAATGTTGACTTGTTTGATGATAAACAAAATTGCCCTCTGGTCTTTGTTGATTTTATTCATATTTTATGACACCAAGAAACCGCATACACAAATGTATATGGGGGGGGGGGATGACCGAATGGTTGCACGTGCGCTTTGTATCATAGGACTTTCATTGAGTCAACTGGCGTGGTTTCGAATCCCCGGTTGTACGTGACAAGGAGTAGGGTCGCCTGTCCAACCTCGTGGGTTTTCTCAGGGTCCTCCGGTTTCCTCCCACTGTTAAAGACCCCTATGCGCAAGAAAACAAGTACAGGTGTACGTACTATGGACCAAGAACCACTCGGCAAACCTCAGCAGATTCCAGTACCCTACATCTAGACTCGTCTGTATGACGAAATCCGCCATCGAAACTACTTTCAAGCTATCATCGGATTACCACCGGCGTTGCCCATGACGACGCCTTTGAAGAATGTTTTATCATACAAAGATTTCAAACGACGCAATTGTAAGAACTTCTTTCTAAAAGCGGCAAGTTTTCCTAATAAGTAAACCGGTGCCGCATCGCAATTGTATAGGCGTAGGTACATATCACTTACCGTCATACAGCCGAGGCGAGATGTAGAGTAATGAAATCTGCCGAGGTTTGTCGAGTGGGTACGGTTCATAACATGCATTTGAGATCAAAGTAAATAACATCCCAAGGTAAAGAGAGTTAATCCCATCAATGTGTATATATTATTCACATCTCTATAGTGTTAAACCCGAGAAACGTTCCTATATTGACTGTTCTGAATGTGGGTATCTAGTGGCGTGAGTAGGATTAGAATCGGATTCTGTCCACTTATTTGTGGAAAAATTGGTGATTTAAAAACTATAAGACACCTTCCCGGGTTTGCGCCTTCGAACAGAGCCTCGTCCCGCTTAAGTTGGATGGCCGAATGGTTAGCGTGTGCGCGCTGTGCATTGAGTCAACTGGCGTGGTTTCGATTCCCCGGTTGTACATGAGAAGGAGTAAGGTTGCCTGTGGTTATGCCGGGGAAAGAAAGGCCGAAGAAAATAACCAGAGAAAAAGAAAAAAAACCCGAGGCCGGTAGGCTGAGGTTTTTCTGTCGATGGTATTTGTCTGAAGTCGAGGACTTTATCTTGCTCATAAACCGTATGTGTTTAAATGTACGTCAAATAAGAATATCCCAGAATTCCAGTAAGAAAAACCTTATATCATGTTTTCTTATGGAAAAAATCCTACCCTGGAAGAATAATCCGTTACAGGTTTAAAGAAAACTTTTAGAAGAATAACCCCAAATTTCCCTGCAGTATATTTCCAGTATTCCGGGCATAGAAACCCCAGAGATCAAGAGAGTTACCGATATAGGTTTATAAAAAAAAACACCTGAAGCTCTACAATATTTCTGCATACATGTATATTATCATGATTAAGGTCAATGATCTGCTCGAGAGTGTAGGGACCTTCCCAAACTCATCCCCCTCGACACGCGCCTGCATTTAGGACATTTATAAGTTGCGACCTTTCAATGGTCTTCGTTCGATCATTCTTAAGGTTTAACGTCCGCTTCCACATTGGGTGATATCGCAGACAAGTGTTTCTCAAATAATAGGCTTAGTCTAGCCTGGGTATGAGAAGCGAGATGGATTAGAAAGTCTATTATAGGTCAATGGTTTATGTAATACTGATGATCGTTTAACGTGATCTGCTTCCTCAATGACAACATGGCAGATAAACCAAACCAGCGTTTAACCTTGTTACAATCTAAAAATATAATCTGAGGTTTAGAATATCTATAGGTCAGTGACCCAAGAGTTGTTTGCCAACTGGGTCGAGATTAATCTGAGGCTCACGTAAACTATATGATAATCCAAGATCGACTAGAACTATGGAAGTCATAACGCCATGGTCAAACTCGCCATAAAAGACAAAAAGTAAAATATTGGCAAACGAAATTATAAAATCGAAACAAAAATAATGAACCTTCTGTAAATGTCCCTGTGGTTGGGAAATAATGCAATTCCCGAAAAGAAAAGCCATTAACAAATTCCTTAGACATGTTTCTGGGGTTATGAACATATAACGGCCCTAAACCGATGCTACCGAAAAAAAATTTCATAACGGCCAAAAAAGACACATTTACATAGACATATAGATAATATTTACATAGTCATTTCTTTAATACATAATTTATACAGACATTTATTTATGACCAAATTTTTTGGCCGTTATGACCAAAGTAGAGCCGTTTTGACCAAACTGGATTTTGGCCATTATGGACTCAGGCCGACCACATGCATCTGCGGTCATAAATTTGATGCGATGCTCTTTACATTCAAATGCACGAAAGGAAACCCTAGACAAACTACAATGTGACTTGAAAAACATAAAAATGCCTGTTGATCGACTACACAAGCCACAGTCTAGATGTTAACAATAATATCTTTAATCAAGTTCATAAGTTTAATAATATGTCAGGTCCGTTGTTACAGTTGTGGGGTTTAACGTCCACTCAACACAGACTAGGTCATTTCGGGACTAACATATGGTCTAATTTTATTTCAATAATTCGCTTGCGCGTAGGGGTCTTTAGCAGTGTGAGGAGAAAACCCACGAGGTTTGAAAGGCAACCCTACTCCTTGTCACGTACAACCGGGTATTTGAAACCACGCCAGTTAACTCAATAACAGGCCT